AGAAGATAAACTAGATAACTGGTTTATCTAGACATTAAATACTTACACTCATCAAAAGACTTTACCAAAAGAGTAAAAAGAGAACTTACAGACTGGGTAAAAAATTTTTGGCAATGATATATCTCACAAGGGTCTAATCTCTAAGATAGAGAACATCAACACCTCAACAACACAAAAACAAACAATCCAATAAAAAAATGGGTAAAGGATATGAACAGACACTTCACAAAGAAGACAATAAGGTGGCTAACAAACATGTGAAGAGAGGCTGGTGATCATTTGCCATTAGAGAGATGCAAATCAAAGCCCCAATAAGATGTCATCTTACCCCTTCCAAAATCGCACTGATCAAAAAAAAAAAAAAGGAAAACAGCAAATGCTGCAGAGGTTGTGAGAAGACTGGAACTCTTATATCCTGCTGGTGGGATTGTAAAATGATACAGCTATGGAAAATTATATGGTGCTTCCTCAAAAAGCTAGAAATAGAAATACCATATGATCCAGCAATCCCACTCCTAGGTATATATCTTAGAGTAATAAGAGCAGTGATATGGACATATGCACACCATGTTCATTGCAGCAGTATTCACTGTAGCAACAACATGGAAACAACCTAAGTTCCCATCAATGGATGAATGGATAAACAAAACGTGGTTCGTACATACAATGGAATACTATGCAACAATGAATAATAATCAGTCTGTGAAACATTTTATAACATGGATGAATGTGGAGGACATTATGTGGCATGAAATAAGCCAATCACAAAAGGACAGATATTATATGATACCACTTGTATAAAAATTGAAGAACAGGTTTACACATAGAAAGCAACATTCTTTGATGGTTACCAGTGTTTGAAGGGTGAGGGAGGAGAATTACTCCCTAGATCATAGAAACCTGTTAATTCTGGTGAAGAGAAAGGCAATACACAATATGGGGAAGTCAGCATAATGTGACCAAGGTAAATACAGACACTAAGAGGTACGCAAGAATAAAGGACAACTATGGTAAATGCTATAACATATACAATTCTCTAACAATAGTAATAACAATCAAAAATTTGTGAGTGGTTACATAGGTAGATATGTCTTAGTCATCTAGTACTGCTATAACAGAAGTACCACAAGTGGATGGTTTTAACAAAGAGAAGTTTATTCTCTAATAGTCCAGTAGGCTACAAGTCCAAATTCAGGGCGTCAGCTCCAGGGGATGCTTCCTCCATTGGCTTTGGAGGAAGGTTCATGTCATCAATCTTCCCTTAGTCTGGGAGCTTCTCTGCGCAGGAACCTCAGGTACAAAGAACGTGCTCTGCTCCCAGCACTGCTTTCTTGGTGGCATGAGGTTCCCATGTCTCTCTGCTCACTTCTCTCTTTTTGTCTCAAAAGAGACTGGCTTAAGACACTACCTAATTTTGTAGACCTCATCAATATAACTGCTGCTATTCCATCTTATTACATCATAGTGATAGCATTTACAACACATAGGGAAATAACATCAGATGATAAAATGGTAGACAATCATACAATACTGGGAATCATGGCCCAGCCAAATTGATATACACATTTTCGGGGGCTATAATTCAACCCATGACAATATGTATGCTATATAGGTGAGGGAGGGCATATGGAAGTACATGAGTGTGCATTCTTAGGTATAGTGGGCATTTGTATACACATATTTGTATGTGTTGTATATATATTCATATATATAATAGACCACATAGGGGGCATGTTATGGAAACTTTTTAGACCTTTCCAAACACCTCATAGGACTGAGTTACTGGGCTTGAGGTTAAGGAACATAGTGTCAGGGGACAACTAGGTCAATTGGCATAACATAGTTCATAAAGATAATGCCCTATATCCTAGTTTGGTGAGTAGTTTCTGGGGTCTTAAAAGCTTGCCAGCGGCCATTTACGATACAACTATTGGACTCTTCCTGTCTGGAGCAAAAGAAACCAAAGATTCAAGGACGCAATTAGTCCACAGGACCAATGGCCCACATGAACCACAACCCTCCTCTACCCTGAGACCACAGCCAGATAGTGCCTAGTCACCACTACCGATAACTCTGATCTGGGTAACCATGGAAGTTCCCCGTTCGAATGGGAGAAAAATGTAGAACGAAACTCAAATTCATAAAAAAACAGCAGACTTACTGGACTGGCAGAGACTGGAGGAACCCCCAAGACTATCATCCTAAGATACCCTTTAAACCTGGAACTGAAGCTACTTCTGGAGGTCACCTTTTGACCAAGTAAGATTGGCCTATAAAGTAAACAATAACACCCATGAGGAATGTGCTTCTTAGCACAATCAACTCTAGGAGACCAAATGGGAAGCGACATTTGCCCAAAAGCAAAGATGAGAAGGCAAGGAGGGGCAAGGAAACTGGAGGGATGGAAATGGGGAAGGCAGGGTGGAAACAGGGAGAGTGCTAACACATTGCAGGGATAGCAACCAATGTCATGGAAAAATCTGTGTATGAATTGTTGAATGGGAAACAAATTTTCTGTGTAAACTTTCATCTAAAACACCATAAAATGTTCAAAAAAAAAAAAAAAAGATGATCATGAAAAGGATCTTAAAGAGATCAGAAGATTGACCGTGTGTGATATTGTATTGGCCAAGATAAGTTGCACTAGCTGCTGTAATAACTGACCTCAAAATGTCTGGCTTACTTCAATAAAGATTTTTTATATCACAGTACAATGCATGCCGTGAGGAGGCTCTGCTGTAACCAGTCATTCAGGAGCCCAGGTTTCTTCTATGCTGCAGCTCCAGCATCTTCATGTACATGGCTTCAAGGTTGACTTGGCTTCATCCAGTTGGGAGATGGAAGGTTAAAGACAGTGAAGAGGGCACACCTACTCTTAACTGCCACAGCAGGGATCATATTCAATTGGTGAGAACTAATCACCTGGTCCTATCTACATGCAAAAATATTGGGAAATATAGTTCATACGCCTGGAAGAGAAAACAGGTTTGGGAGCATTTAGCTAGGTTCTGTCATATACACAGAGACTGGTCTACTAGACCAGGGATTCTCCATATAACTTGAGCATCACCAGGTCTAAGTTTTGAAATCCCTTATGAAGCTTCCACCTCTCTTTTCTGCCTTCCTTAATATTGGAATCTGCAGGCAGTACTACATCATTTGTAGGTCCCTGCTTAAGCCATGATGCTCCATGTTGCCACACCTTTGCATGTGATTCTGTCCCCTTTGCCTGATACTCCTTCCCTTCCAACCTCCTCCTCCTCCAAATCCAGCAAATTCCTCGTCTTTTAAGACCTAAATCAATGGTTACTTCCTCTATGATGACATGGAAGGCACAGATCTTTCTTTAATGCTCACTGAACTTTATTTCTTCTTACCTCTATTATGGAAAAATTACTTAAGGACCAGCACGTTTTCAAAAGGATCGAGTTCATTAATATTCACAATCTAGTGACCATTAATAGACTGGGTCATTTGTCTTAGTATCACTCATGTCTACCTAGCACAGGCCTGGTTCTCATACTCAGTAACTGAGGAAAGAATGAATTCCTGCCACTCTCAGCTGCCACACTTCTAGTGCCTTTGTTTTCACTTGTGGTTTACCGGAGGGGACTAACAAGGAAACATATTTTCTATTAACATAACAGAAAAGGCGATCCTGTATTCTTGATTTTCTCTTCGGGTGGTTAGGTTCTAGAGACTAAAAGAGAAAGTATACTGAGCGCAAAGGGAAATTACATTTAAAAAAAAAAAAAAAAAGTGACCACATAGAGAATGCCTCCTATTATATCCTATCTGAGCATGAGAAACTATTACTTTCAACTGAGCAACAAGGGCTCATAATAATAAGCCGTAGACATTCCACAGGGCTCTTACCCTAGTCTTTTCACTGCCCTACTCAGTATCTGTTTCATACCCTCAAAATAGCTCTTTTGAGAAAAGAAAGAGCATGATTTTAAAGTAGGGCAAAATAAATAAATAAAAGGATAAACAAGAACTCTTTCAACTGAGAGTACTTGTAAGAATTTTAATGTTTATGGAAAAGCTGAGCCCCTGGCCCTTCTTCCTGGTATTAGCAGTGGAGTCCAGTGTTTATTTGCACTGAGGTAGTTCGAGGTCTTTGGGGCATTCATAACCTTTACTTAAGTGCTTTATCATAAAAGAATCTGAAGTATCCTTGCATTAGCATGATCGTTATTTTTTTCAGTGGGTCTGAGAAGCAATTGTTAAATATGTAGCCAGTATGTTTACCGAGAAATCTCCCAAGTACACTAGCACTTAGCTTGTAAACACGTCAAATACCTCACACATAACTTCTTTTAAAAGCTATCACAGTAAAAGCTCCGACACTTAAAAAAAAAAAAATCCTGCAGTTGCTACAATTTGGGTAGAATATGCCAAATACAGCTAGAAATAGTAAATAATCCACTAAAAGCGACATTAGCAAATTACTTGGCACGTGAACAAAGAACTCTTTCTGCACCAGCATGAATGTTGCCTTTATTTTTTCTCACGAGTACGATTTTAGAAAACAGCTGTAGTGCATGTTGACAAATGACAAAGCAGAAGACTTGGTAAAATACTTTTGGTCAAGGCCAAGAGGGAAGAAAAACCAAGTTGCTAGCAAAGTAAACCGGCTTGAATCCCAATCTTCCCCCACTTCTTTTTTTTAGCCTTTAGTGAGCAGGGGCCTCACTGCCCCACCCCACTTTGCTTGGCTCTGGTTACACAGACCCTTTAGAGTAGAACCAACTTGCTGCAGGCAGATTGGCGGGCGGGGAGCTCTAGGGCTTGCGCGTTTTGTTAATTTGTTTCCCGCGGCGCCCGGCGCCGGCCCCTCCTTTTCCTCCGGCCGCGGCTCAGGGGCCTCCGACTGGAGCGCGTCCCCCGCATCCAGTCGCCCCCGGGGACCGGCTCGTGCTGTGTCCGCCCGCCTGGTCCGCCCAGGGGGCGGAGGCCTCGGCTTTTCTCCTCACCCCCTCCCTGCCAGCAGGAGGAGGAGCAGCAGCAGGAGGCGACAGCTGCCCAGCCGAGGAGGCGCGGCGGAGAGGGGGCTGCAGTCAGCGGAATTCACTCCAGGCTGCAGACCGGCCCCGCGCCCGGCGACTCGGGGCGGCGGCCCGGGAGGCGGGAGCGGCGCGGCCGCCCGGGATGTTCCTGGGTACTTCCTGACTGGCTGGCAGCGCGCACAAGGCCGACTCGCACGCCCCGTCCCCCGGAGCTCGCTCGCTCCCTCTCTTGCTGGCTCGCGCGGCCTCACTCTGCGTCGGCCGTGCTGCGGTGGAGGCGCGCGAGGGGGACGCGGCCGGGGATGAGAGGATTGCGGGTAAACACGACGCCGACGGGCCCCGAGAGGCCGTGAGAAGCCGGTTTACTCCGAGTCACCGCGCTGCCCTTGGATTTGAGACCATGTACGTACGCGTCGCGGTCCTACCATTGTCTGTATCCCGAACGCGTGTCGTGCGCCTGGGCGAGGGGCTCGTGCCCATCCTCGCCGCGCGCCTGCCCCCCGCACTTCCTGTTCCGATTAAAGTGGACAATCGCACTGACTGTGGTCTTTTTCTCCCCTCGCCCCCTTCTCTGACCGTGTAGGTCCATTCACATCGTGGCGCTGGGGAACGAGGGGGACGCATTTCACCAGGACAATAGGCCGTCGGGGCTTATCCGCACTTACCTGGGGAGAAGCCCTCTTGTCTCGGGGGACGAAAGCAGCTTGTTGTTGAATGCGACCAGCACGGTTGCGCGTCCCGTGTTCACCGAGTATCAGGCCAGCGCGTTTGGGAACGTCAAGCTGGTGGTCCACGACTGTCCTGTCTGGGTAAGGGGCAGCAGCTGCTCTGTGCCGAAGCTGAAGGAGCTTTTCTTTCTCTTTGTTTTTTTCCTTACCCTTTGAGCCCTTGCGTGAATGTGGAGTGTCTGGGTCCCTTGGGAAGAGTTTTTAAACATTTTGGAGGAAAATCTTTGGTTCTTTGTTTCATTGAGCGGGGGCAGCTCAGTCAGAGAACACTCTTGGAAGGCAAAAAGCTCCAGTGGGAATGTGGAGCACTTATTCGTACACTTCTCGCTGTGGGTTGTCCCTTGGTAGGCAGCTGACAGTTGAATGTGCTAACCCCAAGGGAGGGGGTCACCACGTTTCACCAGCAAAGAGCAGTGTTTTTTTATGCCTATCCAGTGGGTGATAATGTAAAAATACTTTCACTGGGGCCTTTCAGAAATGGAATCTCTGAAAAAGGGGAAAAAGGGACTGAAAATTAATTTCAAATGATTCATTTTTAGTGTTATCCACCTCTGAAAATTTTAAAATTAGTGTTTTTATTTTGAATAATGCAGATATTCTTAACATATGGGCCATTTGCTATTAATGACTCATAAATGAGAAGTATTATTAATACTGCTTAGAATTAATTTTTTTTTAATTTGGAGTAATTGAAATAAGTGATAACAGTAGATCAATTCCAATTTAATTATTGAGTGTTTGGTAAAAGGAGAAAGGAGTCTACTTCCTCACACACATAAATGTTCTCAGTATACAATAACATTTTGAATGTTTTCATTAATCTTGGAAAATTTCTGATTCTTTACTGATACTGGAATTATATTACATTTAAACATTGAATTTTATAATAGGAGAAAATTCAATATCTGAAAAGAAAATACATATGGATTAGCATTAAACGAGATTTTGCATTCAAACAGCAATTTAAAAAAAAAAAAACACCTGAATGGGGGCCATAAGGAACTAGCACACCTTTCTAAAGAGACGTATCCAATGTGCATAGAAAAATTTCTTATGTAGTTTTCCATATTATGAAAGAAAAGATCATTTTCCCATATGAATTTTCAGTTAAGGAGAGTTGTTGTTGTGTGCCATCGAGTTGATTCCGACTCACAGCAGCCTCATAGGACAGATTAGAACTGCCCCATTAGGTTCCCAAGGTTGTAATCTTTATGAGAGCAGATGCCTAGTGTTAGAATCCACCAGCAGCTCCTCAGAACAGACCTGCTGATCTGCTCCTGTAAAGATTACAGCCTAGGAAACACTATGGGGCAGTTCTGCTTTGTTCTATTAGGGTGGCTATGAGTTGGATTTGGCTTGACAGCAAGTAATAACAAAGGAAAGTGGCCAAAATAAATGAAAACCAAGCTTTTTCAATAACAGGGTTGCTGTTGAGTCCCTAATTATGACAGTGATGATGCTGATCATAAGAAGTGTTGATAGAGAACTTATTTGAGGGAGTCCCTGCAAACAAATGAAACACTTCTTTTACTTCAGCCCTTTCAAGAATCTTACAGCGTACAAACTTATTGGTTCAACATGCAGTTGAACACATGAGTTAGTAGAGTAAATAAATGTCGGGAAAATAAAATAAGCTGAATTAGCATGTTAGAATTGCCTTTCTTGTTTTTTCTTTTAGCTGTTAATCCCTTCCTGTTTATGTTGTTAATTTAGCAAAAAGCAATACTGGTGATCCCATGTATTGTGTGTAGTGAATGAAGTCTTCCAAATGCATTAAAATAAGCCTCTTTAGCCTGGATTTTTGCCATATACTAATTGTTATAGTTTATTATGCTAATCAGTTTTTGTTTGGCTAGACTCTGGCCTTGCTTAAGGCACTCAGTTTGTAACCAGGTACAGTTTTGTAGGTCATAATGGTCTTCAGGCATAGTAGTATAAATTTCCAGGACTAGTCTTTGTAAAGTGCTTTTCTTCCTTTGGTGGTGAGGAAAGCCCATCAGAGATATTAAAGTTGATTGTATTCATCAGCTGATATTTGTCATAAGTACTGAATGAGAATATTAAATATAGCAAAGCAGATAGAGCACAGATTTTGATATCAAAGAACTTGATTTTAGAACCCCACACTGCCACTTAATGGCCACATGTCCTTGATAAGTCATTTATCCTCTCTCAGCCTAATAGTCCCTGTCTCCTAGAGCTGTGGTAAGGATTAAATGAGATAGCACATGTAAACTTCTTAGCATAGCAGCTGGCATGTAGGGGGTGCTCAGTAAATGATAGCTCTTCTGCTAATGAATGTTTATTACTGCTTTAGCCATATATCAGTTGTACTAAGCAAGAGGAGAGTTTTCCTGCACATTATTCAGTAGTTACACAAAGTACATTGAGGCAGTGGTGTTAGTACTTAGTAGGTGCCTGTATTTGCAGTCTCACGGTCAAGTAGGATAAAGTTGTTTCACTGTAGAAATTCAGATTTTTTTTAAATTACTTCTAAAGAGATTTAAAAATGATTTTTAAAAAGATGAGTTCAGTTCTTCAAATGTGGCTCCAAGCCTTGTGTTGCATAACCCCCCAGAGGAAATCCTGGAGCTGATTTACAAAGGGTGGGAGAATTTGATTTCCTTCGTAATTCTGGAAACCAGTGGAGCACTTTCTCTTGGACATAGTTCGAGAAAAAAATGCTGTCTTAGAGTTTTGGAATGAGATAGTCGTGCTTCTCTTCCCTAGTTCTCATCTGCAGCTCTTTAGCCTTACTCTGGATCTTCGCCTTATATACTTGGCACTTTTTAAATAAATGTGTTTCCGATTCATTAGATGTAGCCCATTATTTAGTATAGAACTCTCCCACCCACTCCCTTTTCCTGTGTAGTTACACTGTCATTTCATTTTACATTTTTGCATCTTTTCCTGTTTACCAAAAATATTCCAAAAAAAGCAGTGAGGTAATACATTTCCAGTTTTTTGTGTGTATGGTATTTGAAGCTCTGATACAATCACAGTCTTCACGTCTTCAGTACTATAGTATTAATGATGCCAATACCCATTTTCTCATGACATTTTTCCTTAAATGTCTCCTTCTCACCCCCATATACCTTTCTGGTAACTGGAATTTCGAGCTATCTGGAACGCAAAGAGAAATTAATTTGATCTATTCTCTCAGAGTGAAATGATTATTTAATATTGGTTCCACTTATATTTAATTTTTTATCCCATTCATCTGACTTTTCCCTCTTTCTTTGTTACACTTATATACTTTGTTATACTTGTATATTTGAACTTGAATAACACAATTGGAACTGAAGAGGTTTTGTGGTTTGGGTTTTAGAAATTAGAGTAGAGCTCTGCTGGGAAGCTTTCACGTTTCCTTGCCCTGTGTCTTACTCTGCTTCTACCCACTGTTAATCCCCTGCTCAGTGCAGACCTTTGCCTTTGGTGTTTTTATTCCACAGTTCGCCAATTTTTTGGTTCTTTTAAACTTCCTTAAAAAATGCTCTATCCATCCCATTTTCAAAAGGGTATTCATACCTAAAACTTCTGCAATCGTCCTTACTCTGAGTGTACTTGTGGGAGATGGGCAGGTTGGGGAGTATATAAGGAATGGGAGAGGCTTTGCAGGGGGTGAGGAGCCCTGGCAACACAGTAGTTAAAGTGCTTGGCTGCTAACCAAAAGGTCCACAGTTCGAACACACCAGCAGCTCTGCAGGAGAAAGGTATGACGGTCTGCTTCCATAAAGATTGCTGCCTTGGAAACCTTAAGGGGCAGTTCTACTCTGCCCCGTAGGGTTGCTATGAGTTGAGTAGACTCAACAACAATGCGTTTGGTTTTGGTTTGGTTGCAGGAAGTTGGGGAGGCACTGGTGAGAAGACGCCCTCACAGCAGAAGGGCATTGCTCTATAACACTCCTCCAGAATTTTCCATCATAGGGTAAAATGTCTGTCACACAGATCTTGAATGAATGATTGCTTCAAACACCATCACTGAGTTTTGGACTCATGTTTCAAAGTGCAAACTTTAATAATCCAACAATGTTTAGACCTGTTAGCCACATCTAGCTGTCTTATCTCCTTATCTATTTTTGTTACATGCTAGAAATACATACCAAAGACCCCCCTGAAAGGACACATATTGATTAAAAGTTAACTTGATATGGGAAGGAAGCTATTATGGATGTGGCAGTGGTATTACGATACATAAAGATATTTTCCTTATGGCAATATTCACACAAAATTTTGAAAAATTCTTTTAAAATGCATGTGTAAAATATTAAAGCACTAAGTTATAAGGAATGAGGTTCATAATAAATTACTTTTGGTCCCAATCTAAATGTATTGTTAAATGCAGTCCAAAAGTAAAGATTTCAAAACTAGTAAGGTTTATCCTAAACTTTTAATTTATAGCAAAATACATTAATTGCAGATACATCCCTTACCATGTTAACCCCTTAATAACAGATACATAATCTCTTTTGGAGGCATAAGCCACCCCCCCCGGATACACTACACACATACAGTATTGTCCAAAGAATGGTTAAAGTTGAAAAGTATAGATGAATTTTGAAAATATGGATGAAATATGTAGAACAACACAGTTCATAGTTGATCTACGATATCAAAACACCGAAAAATCCTGCTGCATCAAACTGAGTTACCTAAAATCCTTTGAAGCATCTATACTCATACCAATGCATTGCTTCTAATGCCATAATGTTACATACTTGAAATTATTAGGTGATAAAAGCAGAATTTTTTTTTATTGTACTTTAGATGAAGGTTTACAGAACAAACTAGCTTCTCACTAGACAGTTAGTATGCATATTGTTTTATGACGTTGGTTAACAACCCCATCACATGTCAGTACTCTCCCTTCTCAACCTTGGGTTCCCTATTACCAGCTTTCCTGTCCCCTCCTACCTTCTAGTCCTTGCCCCAGGGCCGGTGTGCCCCTTTAGTCTCGTTTTGTTTTATGGGCCTGTCTAATCTTTGGCTGAAGGGTGAACCTCAGGAGTGACCTCATTACTGAGCTAAAAGGGCTTCCAGGGGCCATACTCTCGGGGTTTCTCCAGTCTCTGTCAGGCCAG